GTGTTTAGACGATGATATATTTGACATAAGTTGCCGATGATGTAATGGTACACTCGCCTGACTTTGGTTCCCGCTCAGTGGATGTGGCTGGCAATGGTTGTTTGTCTCTATATGTGCCCTGCGACTGACTGGCGACCAGTTCAGGGTGTAGTCTGTCTTCCACCCCAAGTCAGATGGGTTAGGCTCCAGCAGCCCCTGCGACCCTGTTCAGGATAAGCGCCGTTGAAAACGGATGGTTGGATATTTTACATAATCCTTCGTAGCATTAATGTCAACTTACCGGTCACAATTTTTTTCTTTACGTGGGTAGTGAGATACTTATTTTCATTTTTGCAGTAGCAAAAAATGATCACCAATTGAAACTTGTGTTCTGGTGTTCAAATACTTCGTTGTAGTTAAGGCCTGTTTGTGGATGTGAAGCAATACTGACCAGCTTGAATTATGATGGGGATTTCTTTGTCGATAAAGTTCTCTTAAAAACGGCCTGTTATGTGAGACACATTTGATAGCAAAAAGTTAACACCACAGTCATCTACTGATCCACTTAATGCGATTAGACCACGCACAGAGTCTCAACCCAAGATCAGACTATCTTCTTATCAACTTCCGCCGCACCTCTGGGTGGTAGCGTACGTGTGTCCCTCATACCGCACTCAGCCCGCTAATGCTGAGGGTTCCGGCCCCGCGGCATCATGCCGAGCAGAAAAACAGCAGCTTCTCACATGAGTGGCATCATGTGACGAAGCCCCAGCAGTCAGACGCTCCGTTGACTTTGCTTTTTCTGCGAATATGTACACTGAATGCATTTCACATTCCGTTCTGGATGTTGCTCAAAATGTGGGACTGTCTTCATGTTAAGGAGTCATCTAGTCAATGAATTACCAGTTATGAAGTGAAGTTCAGTATGGGGATACTTTAAATGGGACAATGACGCTGTCTTTTTTGTTTTTTTTCGATGAAAACACCTGGAGCAGATGCACATTTACCCTCTGTTGTGTTTTACATAGAATCGATAATAGATATCACATCATTTGATGACATTCCGCCTCCAAAGCCACCAAATTCCCATTTTGACTGCAACCTTGCATTGTGTATCGGTGCCTTACAAGACTAAGAAGTGTATTTTTATGATACTCAACGTTAAGTGAAGAAAGTGTATTTTAACAAGTGGATTTATCTAATCCATCTTTGTTTTCAAAGTTCTGACCCTTTTGTTCTAGAAAAGGAACCTTTATAGTTCTATAAAAATATACTCTTGAAAAATATTTGTATGAGGGAAAAAATGGGGCTTTATTCCCATAGTAAAATTTTTTTGGGGGCGTGGGGGAAATCTGTATGAGTGTGACAAAGTGCCTTCAACAAAAAAATGGTGGCAGTTACAGGCCTAATGCTAATATGGTGCAACATGCATTTCTGTTCTGGCTCTGCTGCTGCAATACCGTTCGACTCCAGTCCTGCAGGGAGCGCTAATGCATTTCCCAAGTGATGCGACTGACTGCCCCCAAAACAAAGTAAGCTGGTTTGACAGCGACACCATTACAGAGAACTTTGATCATCAAATAAAATAAATGAGCTGGATCCGCACTGACATTAAATGCTGTTTTTTTTTCCTCGATGTAAATACATTTACCAATCCATAAATGGTGATCAAAGCAGCGCCTAATAAATTGATAAATAAGTTAATCAACTGTGCACATGGAGCAGAGCAGTCACAGCGGGTCAGCCTGATGAAGAGTGAAAGGCTCAGAGATCAGCGTCACCAAGGTGAAGTCCTTTAATCTGCCAATGGCTTTGCGCAGATTTGTTAACGCTAAGATTTAACGCCACGCCCCGAATCTTCAACCCTTCCTTCATGCACAGTCACCCTTCTTCTGATGCATGTGACTTCCAAACCTCAGTCTGGAATGAGGACATTTCTTGACTTTGCTTTGCGACAACAAAATTCACTTTGGTATGATGCAACTCTCGGGAGTTTCGCGGGAGAATCCCGCGAAGAGAAAGTTCAAGGCTGCGTCGGTGATGGACTCAACTCAGCAGGTGTCTGCCAACAGATCTGAATTTGCGATCTTCAAGGTGATTTGAGAAGCTTTTAACTTTGCTTTAAATCGAACGATTCTCTTCATTCACATTGACGAATGCATATGCACTCGGTAGCCATACTCAAAAAAAGGAGTACAACTGTCGGCTGGGCAAAATAATAGTTTTCCTGACTGTTGCATTTTCTTCGTGTATTTCGGCTTCCTCCTGTACAGTATTCCAGATACATGCATTTTAGGTAAATTGAAGACTCCAGTGGTGTGAATATGATTATGGTTGTTTGTCCATGCTGGTAATCAGTACAGGTTGTACCCTGCATCTCAGCCAAAAGTCAATTCAGATTGGCTCCAGCTGACCTGTTACCCAATTGTGGGCAAGCACCATCGCAGATGTATGACTGGATAGTTAAATGAAAAAAAAAAGAAGTTTCAATTAAAACGAATTTATCTTCACAATACTCAGGTGTACCAAATGCGCCAGCATCCAGCCAGGCTTTTTTTTTTCTGTTTTGGGACAAAAGTCAAAGTTCCTGGAAAAATATTGCCCCTCCCCCCCTCTACACGCAGAAGAGAAAGTAATGGTAATTAAGTTGGTGTGGTTAGGTGAAATAAGATTACTCGGTGTTAAATCCTTTGCTCGCCTAATCAGCTTCTGATCCTTCATCGCAGTTAAAACAGGATTAGCGTCATGCTCTCCTCTCTCCTGCCTTGGAGGGCATAGCATGGACTCAAGGTAAACTATCTGAGTTGGTATTGGCATCTGTGGTACAATCACAGCCAGTTTTTTGATTGGATTTTAAAATATGTGTGGCTTTAAAGTGCCCTGGAATCAAATATTTACTATGATTATGACTGATAGACTGCGATGCATTCAAATGTAGGTTTTGCACGCTGTGTGACAATTATTTCGTCAAACCGTGCTCTCTTTCGGCTTGGCCTATTAGTTTTCAAACCACCATTTCAGAGCTAGTTCTGATCCAAAAGAGGGATTTGGAGAAAATAATCATTTTTGCGATACTTTCACAACAGCCTCTTTCATTGGCTTGTAGTTTGGGCGGGTCTCTTTTTAATCGGGAAAAATGAGCATGAGCAATCAGGTTTACGCCTGGAGATATGCAAAGGTTAGGTGATTACTGGCTTGATGCTGTTATTGCAGCGTTAGTCGAACACAGTGTTTTTCAACCCCTGTGCCGCGGCACACCAGTGTGCCGCAAGACATTGTCAGGTGTGCCGCGGGAAAATATCCAATTTGTATGCCTGTGTGCCTATCGCCCAGAAAGTAATCGTGTAGTACCCTCCCATACCGCTAGGGAGCAGCAACAGCTAGCCAATTGCCTTGTGTTTCGACAAGAGACAAGCGAATTTGTGACGCATGAATGCAGGACGACGGTGAAACAATAAATATGAAAGATGAGAAAATACTTTTTTCTTTGTGTTCATTTGATTCCAATTCAAGCTGTTATAACGTCATTCTTCAATGTTAAAAACGGTTATAGTAACAATATAACTCGTTCATTATTCAAATAAGCGTTTTTTGTTTTTTTTGTTTGTTTTTTTCACATTTTTAGCTAGTGGTGTGCCGCAAGATTTTAACAATGAAAGAAGTGTGTCTTGGCCCAAAAAAGTTTGAAAAACACTGGTCTAGCATATGGTGGCTTCTTTTCTACCTGTCTGGGTAAATGTTTTGGACATGAGGTTGGTTCTTGTCTTACAAATTAGGGTTCTGTCATCATCATCGAAACAGAACTCCCTGATGTCATGTCCGATGGCGCTTCTTGCTAGATTTGAACAAAGCCAACGTGCCTTTGCTTTACAATGCGCTCCCAGCACTGATGACATGGCTCGCACTTGAGGGAAATAGTGTGACAAGCCTGTGTGTGTGTGTGTGTGTGAGTGTGTGTGTTTAATCCAGCATATGTTATGGTGAGGCGAATGCACTCTGAGTCTCAGTAATCAGTGATTTGTGATTTCACTGTCTGCCAGCCGACAACTCACCAGCCATCCATTCAAGCCAAACTGATCTCCGCTCTTTCGTCTTTGAAATGTGAAATATCCGTCAGTGTGTTCCAACCTTCACCTTGCCTTGAATTCTTTCTGGATTGTGTCACCGTGTGTTGATTTGCAGCCTATTTCACCGAGGTCTCATTCCACTTGATTAAACTTGACTTCTCGTCTACGATGTGAACGTGTGTGAGGTTGAATCAAGTCCTGTGCTCACGAGTACAGCAGTGATGCCTCCCCAAGGTGTGATGTTGCTCAAAACTTGCCGCTGCTATTTTTAGCCCCCACCCCTCCCAATCCATTTACCCTTCCTTCCCAGCTCAACCCGTTTTGGTTGCTAGGCTGGGCGCTGTGGCGCTCCCTGCGGGAAAATGTGAAAATGAAGCAACAAAATAGTGAAGCAGGGATCCGGAGGCACTGAGGATGCTTTGTTTGCCCTCAATGATGACACTGGCACTCGAAAGGTTAGAAAAATGTTCCTTTTTAAATGTCACATCTACAAGCTTACTTTTAAAGCCCATAGCCAAGTTTTCACCAAGTTCTAAAGTTCAGTTCACCCTGGTAACATTGGAAGAGTATACTATGTATTGGCATGGCGGGATTTGGCTTTTTTTTGGGGGGTTGAGGGGGTGACTTCTTGATGTTTGCTTCGCGATGAGCAAAAATGTGGCTTTTGTGGAAGTGACGACTGTACAAACCAATTGCTGGACCGTATCTAGCCAGTGTCCCCCTGCCAGAAAATAGTCATGGTTACTTTTGTTATTCACTTTAACAATGCACGCCCAATCAAACAGAATTGATGAGGCTGTAACAGTTTAAAAACACGACGACGCGGATTGTGCCAAGTCTCAATGTTGTACTTTTATCATGAAAATGTAGAACAAAACAAAGGTTATTATTTTGGACAGTTTAAAAAAAAATCTGATGAAACCAGAGAAAGAATCCGACTGGATTTGAACTCAGTTAATTCTATTTTGGTTTTGTTTGTATCTGTCATGTGACAGGTATGCAGCATCCTACTACTAAAGCCAATCATGCAGATAACTCTCGGGAAGTTGCTGTGACCATGATGTCATGATTCAGTTGACTGGTAGTGTTGCAGCAGATCCAATTAAAAGTCTCCTTCTTGTCGTGAGCGTCCACAATAGGACCTCTCTCTCCCTCCAGCGTGGGATTGAAGTCGGTATTTTATGTAAGTGAACCGAAGACACAGTGAAATCAACAGACGAGCGAGACGGCCTTAAAATGTTCTGCATCGCAGTCTGAGTTCATTCCTTGACTCTGCTGCAAGCAAATGAGGCTGAGCAGAGGGGAAATCCTCTCTTGTGTGTAGATTATCACACGCAGAGGTTTAAGGGGCTTTAAATCCTGACTTGTGCATACACATCACACAGTATTTGGGCTGTGTCACCCCCCGCCCCCACCTTGTGCTGATAGCCCCTTAAATCCAGTGCAGTTTTTTTTTTTTTTTGGCTTTTGCTTTTGTACACTATATATATATATATATATATATTTTTTTTTAAATAACCACTTTATCCTCGCAAGGGTCGTGGGTCGTGCTGGAGCCTATCCCAGCTGTCTTCAGGCAGTAGGAAAGGGG